AATGATTGAACTATTTCGCATTACCACCAACAGTGTAAAAGCATTCCCATTTCTCTGTAACCTTGCCAGTATCTGTTGTTTATTGGCTTTTTAATAATCACCATTCTGACTGGTGTGAGATAGTATCTCATTGTGGTTTTGATTTGCATTTCTCTAGTGATCAGTGATATTGAGCTTTTTCACATGTTTGTTTTAAAAGCCCTATTTTAAAATATAGTCACATTGGGTTGGGCTTCAACATAAGAATTTTGGAGAGATACAGTTCAGCTTATAGCATTCCACTCCTGCTCCCCCAAATTAACAGCTTTCTCACAAACATTCATTCTAAAGCAATACCTCCAAAAATCTTAACTAATTTCAGCATCAAGTCTAAAGTCTGTAGTCTAAGCTAAATATTATCTATATCAGATGTCAGTGACTCCAGGTAAAATTCATCATGAGGCAAAATTCCACTCCAGCTATGAACCTGTAAAACCAGACAAGTTATGTGCTTCTAAAACGCAATGGTGGGATAGGCATACGATATTCATTCCTATTTCAAAAAGGAGAAATCAGAAGGAAGAAGAAAGTGAAGGATCTCAAGCAAGTCTAAAACCTAGTAAGGCCGATTTCATTAAATCTTAAGACTCAAGGCTGGGCACAGTGGCTCACGGCTATAATCCCAGCACTTTGAGAGGCTGAGGCAGGTGGATCACCTGAGGTCAGGAATTTGAGAGCAGCCTGGCCAACATGGCGAAACCCCATCTCTGCTAAAAATACAAAACTTAGCCAGGCATGGTGGTGCATGCCTGTAAGGCCCAGTTGCTTGGGAAGCTGAGGCAGGAGAATCACTTGAAACTGTGAGGCAGAGACTGCAGTGAGCCAAGGTCACGCCATTGCACTCCAGCCTGGGTGACAAAGTGAGACTCCAGCTCAAAAAAAAAAAAAAAAAACACCTTAAGACTCAAAAGTAACCCTCTTTGGTTTAGTACTCTGTTTGCCAGGCACCCTAGGGCAACAGCATCACCCCACAGCTGCAGGTGGGGATTCTGCCCTCGTGGCTCTGCTAGGCCAGGTCCTGCCACCAAGCCTCCAGGCAGCCTTATACCTAAGGCTCTGTAGGGCAGTCCTGCCTTCAAGAGTTCAGGTGGAGGACTGTTGAATTTGAAGCAGTGGGTGTGATGATCTATGAATCAACTTTGAGGTCATTTTTTCTTCTTCTTAAATTATAATACACATTCACAGACAAATAGCTCTATCATGCCATCCTGTCAAATCCAAGAAGTCTGACAGCCTTTCCTCATTTTGTCTCTTTTCTTTTTCAGTTCATACTGGCAGTGTTTCTGATCATATAACCATGTAAACTCTTGTATCAAGTAACACTCTAGCAACATCAATGTGTTGACTTCAGAACATGCTTTCTCATTTGATACAATATAGAAAGTGAGAATCTTCTAAAATCTTCAAATTCTGGTTTCTTTTCCTTAACAATTTCTTTTTTAATTCTTCCTTTTCTTTTCTCACTTTATTTTAAGCAGTAAGGAGGAACCAAGCCACTTCAACTCTAAGCTTAGAAATCTTATCAACTAAATATCCATTTCTAATGTTCGCAAGTTCTACTTTCCATAAACACTAAAACAGAGTTAGGCCAAGTACTTTACAACTGTAATTGCCTGATGGGTTCTTGCTCTCTGCAGAGATAAGACCAATTATGTTAGTCAGGTTTCTCCTAGAGGGACAGAACTAATATCATACACACACACACACACACACACACCCGTATATGGTATATTCACCATATATAGATAAATATATGTATAAAGATAAAATACATATATATGTATATATATAAAGGTGAGTTTATTAAGGATTAATTTACATGATCACAAGGTCCCACAATAGGCTGTCTGTAAGCTGAGGGGCAAGGAGAGTCAGTCCAAGTCCCAAAACTGAAGAACCTGGAGTCCAGTGTTTGAGGGCAGGAAGCATCCAGTACAGGAGAAAGATGTAGGCTGGGAAGCTAGGCCCATCTCACTTCTTCATGTTTTCCTGCCTACTTTATATTCCCTGGAAGCTGATTAGATAGTGCCCACCAAATTAAGGGTCGATCTACCTTCTCTAGCCAACTGACTCAAATGTTAATCTCTTTTGGCAATGCCCACACAGACATGCCCAGGATTAATACTTTGTATCCCTTAATCCAATCAAGTTGAAACTCAGTATTAACCATCACATCAATTCACTAAGATAGTATTACAGTAGAGAAAGAGTGTAATTGATGCAGGGCTAGCCAAGCAGAAGATAGGAGTTTATTACTCAAATCAGCTTTCCCAAGAACTCAAAGGCTAGTGATTTTATAGAAAATATGAGAGGCAGGGAGCTAGGGAATGGATGCTGTTGATGGGTTGGGGCTGAAATCACAGGGGTATAGAAAACAGTCCTCATACACTTAGTCAACCTCTGGGCAGGGGCCACAGGACCAGTTGAGTTATGAATCATAGGTCTAGGTAGAGTCAGTCAGTCACCAGAATGCAAATGTTTGAAAAAAAAAAAAAAATCTCAAAAGACCAATCTTACATTCTATAATAGTATTGTTACCTACAGAAGCACTTGGGAAAGGTATATATCTTGTGACTATCATTGTAGTGAATGATTACAGAAAGGTAAGCTACACCTACATTTTAACAGAATTAAGGCCCCTTCCATAATCCTAATCTTGTGGCCTTTCATTAGACTTACAAAGGGAGTTTTAGTTCCCAAAGAAGGAGAGGGTCAGTTGTAAGGAGAGATGATCATTATTTTTGTTTCAAAGTTAAACTATAAACAAAATTCAGGGAGGCGCAGTGGCTAATGCCTATAATCCCAACACTTTGGGAGGCCAAGGCAGGCAGATCACCTGAGGTTAGGAGTTCAAGACCAGCCTGACCAAGACAGTGAAACCTCGTCTCTACTGCGTAGTAGAGCCTGTAATCTCAGCTACTTGGGAGACTGAGGAAGGAGAATTGCTTGAACATGGGAGGCAGAGGTTCCAGTGAGCCGAGATCATGCTATTGCACTTCAGCCTGGGTGACAAAGTAGACCCATCTCAAAAGAAAAAAAGAAAAGAAAAAATAAACAAAATTCCTCCCATGGTTAGTATTATAAGTAAAATTTTGATGCTGCAAAAGAAATAGCACTCGAAGATAAATCCTCTCAGCAAGGCAATTTACTTCTATAGAAGGGTGCAGCTCACAGATGGAACAATGGCGGCCACATGCTTGGACAAGGGGGGAAGGGGCACTTATGCTTGATGGGTGTCCTCCCGACTGCTGTGTCATTTTCCTATTGGCTAGGGTTAGATTGCACAAGGTAGACTAATCCCGACTGGCTATTCTGAAGAGGGCAGGGGTCCGAGCTGGAGTGGCAGAGTGGGTGTTTTGGCTGGAAGGACGGTTACCAGGACGTCAGAGCAGGTAGCCGGGGGGACCTAGGTTAAAGAAGGTGACCAGAGCAGCTGACTGGGATGAGTCAGGATGGAGCCAGGGGCTGGGGGAACAGATGTGAACTACTGTTTAGATCCAGTGGAGAAGGTTGTTTACTAGAATTATAAGGAAGTTAAACTTTAAAATAGAGAATTAAAGAATAAGGGATCGCAACATGCTGGCATACTGATTCTTTGAAGAGAAACTTGGGGTTCACGATAACATTAGCTTGGCCTACACCCAGGAATGGGAGAGGACAGCCAGCCTGTGAGGTTAGAAGCAAGATGGAGTCAGCCATGCTAGACTTCTCTCACTGTCATAATCTCTGCAAAGGCGGTTTCACCACTTTATAACAAGAATCACCTTTCCCCTAGTTATCATATTTCACATTTCTAAGTCTCACTGAATCACACTTAACATCCATATATCTGGCACACACCTCAAAAGTATTCTAGTCTCTACTGATCACCCATTTCCAAAGTGGTTTCCACATGTTCAGATAGCTGTTACATCAAAGAGATTTATAATAAGAAAGAATCTTATGTCATTATGGAGACTGAGAAGTTCTAAGATCTATATAAGCAAACTGGAGACCCAGGAGAGCTGATGGTACATTTCCAGATCAAAAGCTGGCAAAGTTGAGACTCAAGAAGAGCCAATTTTTTTGTTCAAGTGTGAAGGCAGAAAAGGAACGGAAAGGAAAGAAGAGAGAGAGAAAAAAGAAAAATGTCCCAGTTCAAGCAATCAGGAAGGAGTTTCCTCTAACTCAGACTTGTGATTCTATTTAGGTCTTCAATTGACTGGATAAGCCTACTTACCTTAGAGTCAACCTACTTCACTCAGTCTTCTGAGTCATATGCTAATCTCACCCTGGATCACTCTCACAGACGCGCCCTGAATAAACCTTTGACCGAATATCTGGGCATTCCACGTCTCATTCAAGTTGATACATAAGATTAACCACCATAAAGACAAAAAGAGATGTAAAACATCAAGAGACATTGTTTTCAATTCTATATCAGCAGGAAGCAGTATATACCAATTAAGATAATTCAAGAAATGTTTAGTATAAAGTATGTGCAAGGTATAGGGAAACTGCAAAGCTTGGTGCAATACTCAAGGAGAGTGCTGAGTAAAAGGAAACATTCAGTGACACCTTGAGTTAAACTGAAGCAAAGGAGCCAGGGTAGTAGGTAGCCAGCCTCTCTCTGTCCTCCAACATCCTGATGGGAATCCCCATTAACTGAACCCAACAGGAAGACAGAGGATAAGGGTCTCAATGATATAGTTGACAGGTCACCCTTGTTGATGAAAAGAGTCAAACTCTGTAAAGTATTTGAAGAGATTTATTCTGAGCCAAATATGAACAGCAATCACCTATGACACAGCCCTTGGAGACCGTGAGAACATGTGCCCATGGTGGTTGCAGATTTCTTATAAGATTCACTCTGGAAAGGCAGACAACTTGAAACAGGGGTGGGGTGCGGGTGGGGCTTCCAGGTTATAAGTAGATGTAAAATTTTTCTGATTGGCAACTGGTTGAGTTATTATTTAAAGACTTGAAACTAATAGAAAGGAATGTTTGGGTTATGATGATAAGTGGTTGTAGAGACCAAAGTTTTATCATGCAGATGAAGCCTCCAGGTAGCAGACTTCAGCAAATAGATTGCCAATGTCGCTCACCAGAATTAGAGTCTGTTCAATCAGTAATTCCAAAAGGGAGCATGTCCACCCCTTGACCCCCCCATCATGGATTAAGCCAGTTCCTCAGGTTAGCCTTGCCAAGAGAAGGGGTCCATTCAGATGGTCGGGGGCTTAGACTTCTATTTTTGGATTACATTCTCTTGGGGTACAAAGCTGGCTAAAAGTTGGATACATAAAGACAGGTAGAAAGATTTTACAACATTTTTGTAAAAGCACAGATTTTACAACACAAAATCATGGTAGTAAATTTATACCTCAATAAAATAAATAATTTTTCTGGAAAAAAAATACATTACAAAAATTCAATCTAGCAGTAGAAAAACTAAACCTACAATCATACAAGAAAAAAGAAAAACCATTATTAAAATGTTACATCAAAAAATGGCTACTGGTCTAGATGGTTTTATTGTAATTTTTTTCCAACGTTTCAAAGGACTAGATTATCATTTGATCCTAGGTAAAAATATAAAGTATGTTTAATTTTATGAAGATATCATGCCTAATATCATCCTCAAACAAAAGTAGAAAAAATAATTTGGCAAATTTCACTTATAGTATAAGCATTTTAAATTACAAACAAATCAAAATTAACTTTTATTTAACAAACTTCATTTATCCACCAAGACACAGTAGTGTCTTACCCAATTTACAAGTATCACAACAATGATTTAATAAATTGAATTTCTGTTGTCATGGATTCCACACTGATCAATCAATTAAGAAAGTCACATGATTATTTTTATATATACATTAAAGTTTCAAAAAGAAAAGTGGAGCTTTGTACAAAGTCATTTAGAATAACTGCAAAAGATACACATATATAGGAATAAAATTTAATACTTAACATCCTGTTATAGCTTCCTTATTAAAATTTGTGCCCAAACAATGAAACCTAAAACCCACTATAATTATTTTAGCATCATTCTGGATGTTTCCACCATTTTCCCTAGTCGTCAAACATGTAAGTGAAGATATCATCCCAGACTTTTTAAGCTTCTATAGTCACTGAGTAGTTAAGAGATGAACTGCCACTCTGTGTCCTGTCTGAAATTCTGACTCAAAGAATCATGAAAAATTATAAAACAGCTTTAAAAAAATTTTTAAGCCACTAGATTTGCACAGTGTGTTTGACTGACCTGATATGAATCAAGGGCGCATGACTGGCTTCAGTAGAAGAGGATGAGGCCAACACAGGAAAAAAGAGTTAAGAGAGAGAGAAGGAAGGAGAGATAGAGAAGGGAGGGGAGGAGAAGAGAAGGAAAAGTGAGAGGGGAGGAAAGGGCAGAGAACAGGAGAGAAAGGACTTCAATTAACAACCCCTTGACCTCATTTCTATTTCTAAATACATCTAAGCATGAAGCTTTATCCTCCTCTGGACTTCCCATTTTTTAGAGCAAACAAATGCCCTTTTCTGCTAAAGTAAGGCTGAGCTGGATTTCTATCACAATAAAGAGTGCTAACTGGGCCATGTGTGGTGGCTCATACCTGTAATCCCAGCACTTTGGGAGGGCAAGGCTGGCAGATCACGAGGTTAGAAGTTTGAGACCAGTCTGGCCAATACAGTGAAACCCTGTCTCTACTAAAGATACAAAAAAATTAGCCAGTGTGGTGGTGTGGGCCTGTAATCCCAGTTACTCAGGAGGCTGAGGCAAAAGAATCACATGAACCTGGGAGGTGGATGTTGCAATGAGCAAAGATGGCGCCATTGCACTCCAGCCCTGGTGACAGTGTGACACTCCCATCTCAAAAAAAAAAAAAAAAGAAGTTGAGATAGAATGTTCTTTTTACAAAAAAAAAAAAAAAAAAAAAAAGAGTGCTGACTAAAAACTCCTCCAGGTAGAGGGCCTGGTCTGGCTATTTACAGAACTCTGCACAGCAGGATAACTGGCCACTAACCCTTTTAAAATACTGATGTGGATTAAAATGAATACTGGGAAGGTGAAGTCCATTTCAGCTCACATAGGTTTTTGTTTTTGTTTTCCTGGGGAAATGAGTTACGTGACAAAACTAGGTCATCAAAGTTTATAATTGGTGTATAATTGGTGGAACATACTTCTACCAATTAAAAACTTTGATGACCTAGTTTTGTCACGTAACTCATTTAAAAGAAATAAAATGAAGTCTAATTTTATTTCTCTTAAAATCAAAGGTTACAAGCCATGAGTATGTCACATAATCCATCATTACTATTTGCATTTCAGTCCTTTTTAATCATGTTATCATTCCTAAATCTATTTTCAGAAATAAGGTTTACAATTTGTAATTCCTAAGAGATTTGTTCAATTTGATACTCCTCGGCCCACCGAGGAAAGCCTTAAATATTTTTGTCTAATAAGACTACCAGTATTTCTTACATACATAGCTTTTCTCTAGACTTTTCCTAGATATAAAAAATTAAAATTCTGAATCCTACCCTCTTATTAACCACATCCATTTGCCATAATTTTGCACCTGTTGTGGTGACTTTCACAAATGCATCAGGCTGGGTGCTGTGGTTCATGCCTGTAATTTCAGTGTTTTGGGAGGCAGAGGAAAGAGAATCACCTGAGGTCAGAGTTCAAGACCAGCATGGGCAACATAGCAAGACCGCACTTCTATAAAAAATTTAAAAATTAGCCAAGTGTGGTCATGCACACCTATAGTCCTAGCTACTCAGGATGCTGAGGGGGAAGAATCACTTAAGCCCAGGAGTTCAAGACTGCAGTGAGCTACGCTCACACCACCACATGTTAACCTGGGTAACAGAGGGAGATTCTGTCTCTAAAACAAAACAAAACAAAATATACACACACAAGTGCACTTCATTGGTTCTACAAATCTTAGAAAATAACCCATTGTGCACAGTATTATAAAAGCAAGCTTGAAAAA